TCTCCCGAGTTACCTGGTAGCTATGCCTAGGGGGGGGGTCCCCAACAGATCCGTCTCCCCTCCCAATACCTGAATCCTCTGCTTCTTGATTCTTAACATTTTTCATTATGTAGATCATCTAGATCATCACAGATTCATGGCACAGACAACTCATGGAGGAAGGGTGAGGTCCCAGAGGACTGGAGGAGGACAATTGTAGTACTTATCTTTAAAAAGGGGAACAGATTGGACCCAGGGAATTATAGATACCTGGAAAGATACTGGAACAAATTATTAAATAATCAGTTTTTAAGTACCTAGGGGATAATAGGATTATAAGGAATAGCCAGCATGTGTTTGTCAAAAACAAATCATGCCAAATCTAATTTCCTTGTTTGACAGGGATTACTGGTCTAGTGGATAGAAGGGAAGTAATAGACTTTATATATCTTGATTTTAGCAAGACGTTTGACAGTCTCACATGACATTCTCATTAGCAAACTAGGGAAATGTGGTCTAGATAAAATTATTATAAGGTGGGTGCAAAACTTATCCAAAAAGTAGTTATCAAAGGTTCGTTATCAAACTGGCAGGGCATATCCAGTGCGGTCACACAGGGATCTGTCATGCATCCAGTACTATTCAATATTTTCATTAATGACTTGTATAATGGACAGGATGCTTATAAAATTTGCAGATGATACCACGCTGGAAGGGGTTGCAAGCACTTTGGAGAACAGGATTCGAATTCAAAATGACCTTGACAAATTAGAGAATTGGTCTGAAATCAACAAGGTGAAATTCAATAAAGATGGGTGCAAATGAACAACTACAAAGTAACTGGCTAGGTGGTAGTTCTTCTGAAAAGGATCTGGGGTTATAGTGGATCACAAATTGAATATGAGTCAACAATATAATGAAAAAGGCTTATCTTTCTGGGGTGTATTAACAGAAGTGTCATAGGTAAGACATGGGAGGCAATTGTCATGCTCTCCTCAGCACTGATGAGGACTCAGATCGACTACTGGAGAGAATAAAAAATGATAAAATGTTTAGAAAACCTCACCTGTGAGGAAAGGTTAAAAAAGCTGGATTTGTTTAGTCTTGAGAAAAGAAAATGGAGGGGGGACCTGATAAGTCTTCAGATATATTAAGGGCTGTTATAAAGAGGAAGGTGATCAATTGTTCCCCGTGTTCACTGAAGGTAGGACAAGAAGTAACAGGCTTAATCTGCAGCAAGGGATATTTAGGTTAGATAGGAAAAATGTTCGAACTGTAAGTGTGGTTAAATTCTGGAGTAGGCTTCCAATGGAAGTTGTAGAATCCCCATTATTGGAGGGTTATAAGAACAGATTGGACAAACACCTGTCAGGAATGATGTAGGTTTACTTGGACCTATCTCAGCGCAGGGTCCTGGACTTGATGATCTTTCGAGGTCCCTTCCAGCTCTACATTTTTATGATTGTATCATCATTAGTAAGGGCTTCTCCACAGGTCACAGTTCAAAAAAAAGTAGTCTAAGTTCAACCTCCTGCACTGGAAGAGAGCTATCCAAGTTTTCTGCAGCTTTCCATGTAGAAGTACACCTCTACCCCGATATAACGCTGTCCTCGGGAGCCAAAAAATCTTACTGCATTGTAGGTGAAACCGCGTTATATTGAACTTGCTTTGATCCGCCGGAGCATGCAGCCTCCCCCCTCCCTCCCCCCGAGCGCTGCTTTACCGCTTTATATCCAAATTTGTGATATATCGGGTCGCGTTATATTGGGGTAGAGGTGTAGTATACATCTGAGACAGCTGCTTATGGTGAAACTTACAAGGAACAGTTCATGGGACTTAATAAGACGCCGTCGGTTATCTACTTCTGGGAACCAATCCTACACTTGGCTCTGCCTGGGCAGATTCCTGCACCCGTGCAAAGCCCTGTTGAAATCACTAGAGCTCCATGTAAACACAGGGGCCTGTCCATGTGCTCTATGTTACAGTATCAGGGCCTTGGTTAATAATACACGCCTGTAGTGATGTTAAATCTTGTAAGATACTCCCTTCAGTATCCAGTTACTGTTTTTACAGTGAATCTTTTTTCTAAATTTAAAATAAATCCATTATTGTTGCATACCAAACTTCAGTTATTCAGAAGTACAGTATCTTACTTTTATTCTCTAGAGTCTAACAAGCCTCAGGGCCGGTTGCAAAACATAATTACTTGGTTTAGCTCTAGTTGAATATTTCTGTACATAAACTCTATTGTTCATAGTTTTATGTAATGAAGGTACTTTAATTTGTAAATGAATAACTAGCTGCTACTGCTATAGGCACTCTACCAATCCTCTTTACGTAAATTACACGTATGTCATTCCCATAGCTACTGTCACCATGGCAGTTAGGCATTCCAACGGCAGTGATTAAAACACCAATCAACTAGACATCGTATTTGAAGAAATACAAACTAAGGAAATACAAAGCAAAGAAGTAATTCAAAAAAACCCCTCTAATGATGATAAAAATTTCATAAATAAATAAAACATGCCTATTATTTGAAGAGCTCTTGCAGCAGGGACATGAAATTTGGAAGGGGGATTGTCCTGAGGTCAGACCGGGTCCTGGAGTCCTTTGCTGTCCCTGTGACAATCTATTCAGATTTCAATGAGTTACAAGCTATCTGAAATCACTATTTGCAGTCCAAATTATGCTCCATAGAGTTTGATACAGGCTTGGTGCTTTTTAAAAAAAAAAAATGCAAACATTCTATCTGCACTGAGCCTGCTCCTCAACCTTACTGAGCCTCCTCACAGGCTTCCTCGGTACTGAATATGCTCCCCAGAATCTCCGTGCCTCATGCTGAAATAACCAAATACTGGTGTGATGTCTCCAATTTTCTTCCTTCCGGGTGATATCCCCACCAAACTCTGCGCACTGTTTGGGGAATTAAATCAGGGAGAAGCCTTTTCTTCCTCTAAAGCAGAGGTGGGCAAACTTTTTGGCCTGAGGGCCACATTGGCGTTGCAAAACTGTATGGAGGGCTGGATAGGGAAGGCTGTGTCTCCCCAAACAGCCTGGCCCCTGCCCCCTATCCCCCCTCTCACTTCCAACCCTCAGAACCCCCAACCCATCCAACCTCCCCTGCTCCCTGTCACCTGACTGCCCCCTCCCAGGACCCCCACACCTAACCGCCCCCCGGGACCACATCCCCTATCTAACCCCCCCGCTCCCTGCACCCTGACTGTCCCGACCCCTATCCACACCCCCGCCCCCAGACAGGCCCCCCGGGACACCCCGCGTTCCCTGTCCCCTGATACTCCCCAGAACCTCCACCCCATCCAACATCCTCCTGATCCTTGTCCACTGCCCCAACCCCTATCCACACCCCTACCCCCTGGGACTCCCACGCCTATCCAACCGCCCCCTGCTCCCTGTCCCCTGACTGCCCCCCAGAACCCTCTGCCCCTTATCCAACCCCTCTACTCCCCGCCCCTTTACCATGCTACTCAGAGCAGCAGGAGCTCGCAGCCCCGCCACCCGGCTGGAGCCAGCCATGCCACCCACACTGCCCGGCAGGAGTGGCAGGTCAGAGCGCTGCCGGCGCAGCGTGCTGAGGCAGCGGAGGAGGGGCCCAGGGCTAGCCTCCCCAGCCGGGAGCTCAGGGACTGGGCAGGACGGTCCCGCGGGCCTGATGTGGCCCACGGGCCGTAGTTTGCCCACCTCTGCTCTAAAGATAGTTTCTTATTGCTGCTCCTCTCTGTGTAATACCCAATGGTCCAAACTATTTCCTCTCTATTCTAACTGTTACTGGTGTCAGGTCTGTTATGTTACTATCAGTAGAGCCTGCAGAGGGAAGAGAAGGCACAGATTCTGCTCCATCTCCTCTGTGGCTGGACTACACAGTAAACTCCTGAATAGCAATCTGTATACAAGAGAGAGGGGCCTCATGAAGCAAGAGGTCTCAGAAAGATTTTCCTTGAAAAAACGCCTAAGGGACTAAAAGCCCACAGTGTTCTCTCTACCTTCAATTGCCTGTTGAGGAGAGGATGGAGACGGAGCCTCTGTTTCAAAAGGCCCTGTCTTTCCCAAATGATAGCTCACTTTTATAGCTGTCAGCCAGCTTTGTAGGGTGGGGGTTGCTCAATCCCCCTTCTCCTTCTCCAACTCTCTCTCATTTAGGGAGAGACCGCCATGTATGACTGTCAAGGAGGAGAACAGACCTACCACCAACATAATTTCCTTATACA